GGTTGTGCCCGGGGCGTGCCCCGGAGTAGAGGAGAGATGGGACCGCGACGGACGGCATTGTGCCTCTCAGCCCGCATGACCACTGCGGGGAAAACGGATTGCGGCCGTGTGCGCCGCAGGCGTTGCCGTCGTTGGATGGCGTGGGCGCAGCTGGCGACCCATTTTTGCAGTGAGTAGAGCCGTGATGACGGGGAAGATTCTTTGTTGTAACGCTTGTTGCGTATTTTGCAGATTCGACCCGACTGGCTTCCTGACGGGAGCATACGGCCATACATACAGCCACGTGGGGCTGCAAGGCACACGGATGACCGCTCAGCTGCAGCGCGCTGGGCTCCTGCAAGTGGGAGCCATCATCATGCATGCCGGCCAGCGGATGGTAGTGGTGGAGATGACGGCTCATGGCGCGTGGGTCGTCGGGGTATTGGGACGCGTGTTCGTGCCTTATGCGCTGAATTGTGCGCGGTTTACGCGGCGTCGCAATGCTGACAACGACGGTTGACAGGTTTGTGTTGGTGTGTTGTTTTTGTTTTGTTTGAAACGGTGAAGACCATATTTGTACAAACTTGTGGGCCGCCCTCGCGCTTTGAGGGATGGGCCTTCGTGATGATGTTTCTATTGGTCCTGTCGATTGCTTCCTGCCGGTATTTGCTCGGATTCCCACTCCCCATGACCGCAATCCCTTGTCGAACTGCGCTGTGTTCCGGAAATGTAAACCGCTGGTGATTTTTTCTTTTTTGTTGGTTGAGTGCTTGATGCACTCTCGGTATTGTTTGTCGGAAGGTATTGTTTTGCGCAAACGCGCGTGGTGCCCGAGTAGATGGGTGGGTCGGTCTGGTTGATCTCGGTGCAGCCACTTTTTTGTTGTTGCGAGAAACTAATTTGGGTGATGAATTGCGAATGCGGGTCTGTTTTTGGATGGTGATAAACTTTGTTACTCCGCATTTTCTGTGTTTGCTCATTCATTCTTCATCCAGGTACAGGTTCCGAAGCGCGTACAGGAGATTGTCGTTGTCCTGCTGGACACTGTGCACTTGCACATCCATTGGTTCTGGGACGGGCCATTGGGGGGGTGGTTGACCGGGTGGAAGGAATTGCGGCAGGGTGCCGCGGGCCGGAGAGGGTTCCGGCTTGGGCAGATCTGGCTGCCGCTCCACTTCGAGTGGGATAAGGTTTGCTATCGACTGGTTGCGCAGGATGTGTGGTGTGGAGGTGCCGTCGGCTCGGTACCGACGGGAGACCAAAACATCAACGGCGCGAATTTTTCCATCCCGCGGACTTGCGCGGACCGAGACGATCCTGCAAAGTTTCCACTTCAGGCGTGACATGGGAGTGTCACCCTTGAAGGAGGCAACTTTGAGCAGGGCCACCTGGCCCTCTTGGGGCTCGAGGTGTGTGGGCCCGCGTCCCATGTGGGTGGGACAGGCCTGGAGTTGGGTAACATACCCAACGTAGAAGGCGTGCCAGAGGTCTTTGAGGTAGTCCATGTGCAACTTCGTGCGCCATTGGAGACCTTGTTTGTCCGCGTACTCAAAAAACTGAAGGGGTGGGGGACCGTAGCAGTACGGATCCCACGCCGCGTCAGTGTAGTCCCCTTCCACCCGGGTTCAGGAACATTGAGGGGGTAATGCAGATCGGATCATTCCGATCGGTGGGTAAATATGTTAGTGGGCGGGAATTAATCATCCGCTCAACATATTTAATGGCCTCCATGATTGTGGAGGGGTATTTGAAACGAACGCCCTTAAAGGAGCGCGCTAGGCGCCCTTTGATCATTCCCATCATACGTTCGTAAAACCCGCCCCACCAGGGAGCACGGGCCGCGTTGAAGTGCCACTGAATGTGGTTGCGGGCAAAGTGCTGTTCGAACTCCATTTCCTTGGCGCGGAGAAACCGTGGCCAGGCGGCCCGGAACGCGGAGCCGTTATCTGAGATGACGGTGGTGGGGCTGAGGTCGCGGGAATGACAGAATGTATTAAACGCTGTCACAAAAGATTCCAGGGAAACGTCCCTGACGGGTTCTAGGTGGATTGCCCGCGTAAGCGGGCAGGAAAAAACACAGATAGACATAGTTTTTCCGTCCAGGGTCTCGAAAGGCCCTGCAAAATCAACTCCGACCGTCTCAAACGGCTTCATGCCGGAGTAGCGGTAGTGCGGGAGGGGCGCCAATGGTTGCACAAACGGGAGATTATCAAACCGTTGGCACCATGGGCACTCCCGAATGATGTTGCGGACTGGTCTTCGCCCCCCCTTCATCCAGTACCGATGCGTTAGTTTTTCTAGGATGGCGGTCGTTGATGCATGCCGCCATTTCTCATGAAACGATCGTATGAACGCTCGGAGGAGGGGGGGTATGTTGCCCGTCCGAGGGACGGGGATGTGGATAAGTTCTTTCCGAGCTTCAAGCCCACGCCGCCGCCGAGGCAGGGACACATCGGTGTCCTGCCGGATGCGGGACATGACCAGGGGAGTTGTCGGGTCCCAGTGGAGATCCGGCCGACGCTTGTTCTTTTGGTTGTTGGTCACGTTGGTCCAGGCTGTGTGATCGTGGAACTTTTGTAGGATGCGAATGGCATCGTCGGTCGCTGTGCGCCGCTCTTTGGCGGACCAGCTGAGCCAATAGGGATTGACGTGGTTGCCGCTGCGTAATTTGGCAAGCGGTTTGGGGTCATTCAAAAGCGGTAAAATACTCCTTAAACCGGGAGAGCGCCATGATTGTTTTCTCTACTTTGTCCCAGGTCCCGGCCTTTTCGAAAAGGGACAGAACGGTCCGTCGTTCCGCTTGGTAAGCCCATACGGGGTCTTCCCGGGGTTGAGCTAAGTTTGCTTGGACATTGAGGGGCGCAGCTGGCCACTGCGCCCGGTAGGGGAGCCACTTTGGGCCATGCCACCAGAGGGTGGCCTGTTTCAGTGTTGATATGTCGCACCCTCTCGAGGCAAGATTGGCCGGATTGTCCGTGCCTGGCGTGTGCCGCCATTGGTGGACGGCGGTGCTGGCGGCAATCTTTTGCGCTCGTGTCTGCACGTAGCAATCGGTTTGCGCCGCCGCGTTCTGGATCCATGCGAGGGTGACGGCAGAGTCGGTCCAGTAGTGGACGGTGTGCCGGCGCAAGTCTACCTTGATAGAGAGCGCCTGCATCATCTGGGCCGCCATGGCGGCTGCCGCTAGTTCAAGGCGGTTGATTCGAAATGCCGGGAGAGGGATGCCGGGAGAGGGGCGGCACGCTTTAGGAATTACTTTGGATTTGCCCCAAAAAAGACGTGTCTGCGGCCGGTCCCCCCTGGATGTGAAGTAAATGGCTACTCCGAGGGCGATGCTGCTCGCATCGGAAAAAACTTGAATGTCGCCGGGTTCCTTGACGCGTTTTGCAACTTTGCGAGGCACTTTGATAGATTTGGCCTGGAGCGCTTGGCGAATAATGTCATGCCAGACTTTGGTCTCCTTTTTTGAGAGGAGTCGGGCGTAAGCTGTGTGTCGGGTGTAAGCGCGGCCACCCCCTGGTCATGACATCCATCGATTGCACCAAACGGGTGTTCACCTTGGTTGCCAATCGCGTGAGGGCAGCGATTTCAGGCTGCGTGAACGCAGCAGGGGATAAATCTATGAGATGCGCAGCGGCATCAAAAAAGCTGGGTACAACGCTCTCGAAGCGTTGTTGCGGATCGCCGAGTTCGGGCGTCCGCAGGATATGGTCCACCGCGCCTACCGCGTTGGCAAGACGGAGGACCTGCTTAATAATTGAGGGGCGGCGTGCTGTAGACGCCGAAGAGCGACCACTGGAGGCCGCGATTGAGGCGGCGCCGCGAGACGCCGGCCTTGAAGATCTCCGTTTGACGCCTGAAAGAGGCACCTGTTGTGTGCAATGTGAAGAGCGCGACCGCGCGCTATTGTGACTGCCATCGCTGGACGGGCTCAGGGATAGGCGATGCCGTGGCCTCGCCGGTAGAGGTCCCTGCCGTCGCGGAGGCTGGCGCGTACTGCGGGTACGGCTCGAGATGGGCAGCGTGCCGGGGACTGCGCCTTCCTCACCGTTCATTGTGCCGAAAAAATTTCACACGAAAGAAACGGGTGAGTACTTACAGGCTTTTTCCAGAGGGTGAGGTGGGCTGGGTGTAAACGTATGGGCAGCAGGGCTGCAAGTTCACACTTATAAATTTCGCACTTCACTAAAGAAGGGAACTTTTGCCCAAGAATTTTTTGGAAAAAACCGGGGTTCGACCTCGTAGAGGCAAACCCACTGGCCACCACTTTTGTCAGGCCGATTGATGACAAATAAAATAGAAAGAATAAACGCAGTCACTCAGCCTTTAACGGCCGGATCCTCTTTAGCAGAGTCCCTTAGAATAATCAGCTTTTATCCCAAACACGCACAGACCACAGAAGGATACAAGGTACCCAGAGGTACAAACAATCGCGCTAGGATGCAGATACAGATTCCACAGTCAGGAAACCCACAAGCTCTCAGACTGAACTCTCCAGATGTAATGTTCTTCTTCCTGAAGCCCCGAAGGCTTCGGGAGCCGGCGTTTGCTGCCGGAAATGATTATCTTTGTTCTTGACCCGGTTTACCGCAATGCGGTAAACCAGGTGCCCTATCCGCTTCCGGGTTGGCGTGTAGGAGTTGCTGTGCGGTATACCCGAGCGAGGATGCTACGCTTGGGTTGCCGCGTGAACGCGACCCCACAGATATCTCACTTTCCCTCACCTGAATTATTTTGCGATAATAGCCCAGGAAATATTATCCAAGGATTCTTACCTCACTGTTGCAGAAGCTTCTGGGGCAAACAGTGACTTCAAATACCTTGTTTTTTATAACATAAATCAATTGAATTCTGCAAAATAAAATTGTTTAATTTTGAATATAATTTTCAACAGTTTCCAAAAATTTGTGAAGATGCTGTATAGCATGTTTTTATTATTCAGGAATTTTTTTATTCCACATTTGGCATTCATTTGAAAATAAAACTTCCAGAAGTTCTGAAATGCGAAAATTCACAACATTGCTTTTTGTCGTCAATATTTGCAGGCTATAGAAAGTGAACTTCGACATGGCTAGCAGTTCAACATCTGTGTGTTTTTTGTTAGCTTTGAGCTGTTTGCTGATGCACTCGACACAGTTCACGTCATCTGCTGTTAGTGTTGTTCGACCTGCTGAAATTAATTCAGCTCATTACAACCCTGATGAAGTTTTCGACGAATTTGGAAGTAAGTGCTCTTCGAAGTCAATTTAAATAAGCGACTTGAATGCTTGAAAAACGTACCTCTAGAAGAAAAGCACCAAATATATTCAGAAAACGTGGTTTGAAGTTTTTCAAGACAAGTCTGCATCAAGAAACCAAATGAGTTGAAGATCTTGTTTTTGCAGATATTATTTTAAAACTTCTGTGGCTCTGTTGGACTTTTTTCAGATTTTGGGTACAGGTGGTACCTTGCAATTCAATCCTAATTCCTTACCAAACTAGGGTTGAATTGCAAATTGGTCAAATTGCGAGACACACCATCAAATTCAGAATATAATTTAAAAATTGCAAAAAAAATTGAAAAATCAGGTCAACTTGTGGGACAAGGGTTGAATTGCAAGTCAACCTCAATGCAAATTTGACCGTTGAATTGCAGAATGGTTGAATTTTGGGAGGTTAAATTGAAAAGTACCACCTGTACACTCAAGAATGACAATTGAAAAACCATGGCAGTGTTTGCAGGGCAAAGTGGGGGAAATCCTGGTATATTTCTTTTTAATTTTCCATGGAACAATTTTACTCAGAATTTCAGAAATGGAAAAAGTACATCATCAACGCTCACTTTTTCCCCTGACCTTGTGCTGTTCACCCATTCAAATATTTATTTAAGCTTGAAAGCCAGGAGCCCAGGTTTGAGATCACTGTATGGAAACAGTCTGACTTTCAACTTTCCCAGCATTCCTTTATTCTGGGATTTGATCTGACTTTGTCTCCACCTGGCAGGAGATGCATAACCTTGGGTAAAAATTAAATGGCGCAAACAGCTTTGTTTTAATGAGATTCCACTGTATAGAATTACAACATACATAACTCCTGCAGAAAATAAATTAAAATACTTCTTGTTTGATGCTCTGGTGCCTGAGAAAAATTATGTGCCAGAATCTGTCATGAAAAATGATCAAGTTTTAATTGAGAAAGTTTCCCATTTTCATTGGTCACCCTCTTTGTCTTTTAATTTCAGATCTGTACCAAGAAATCGAGCAGGAAACGGAAACCGACATTCCAGGTTCGTCACCCAATCCAACTCAGACAACCACAATGCTCCAGACAGAGAGTGAAAGAACCACTGAACTGGGTTCAACACAACCAGAAATAACAACTCCAACTGAAATAAGGACCACAACGCTGCAGACAGAGAGTGAAAAAACCACTGAAATCAGTTCAACAACAGCACAAATCACAGAACAACCAACACATTCACCAAGTGATGGTATGTTTTTTTTATTTTTTTTTAGACAATCAAAAGGGACAATATCTATGATAACTTTTTTTTACAGAAAAAAAGTTGTGTTGTATTAATCATTCAACCATTTCATTGAAGGTGTTTCTTGAAGACCTGCTGGTCACCATGGCACAAATTCATAGCAGAGGATTGGAATTCATAGTTAATATAGCTTGTTTGCCAATGTATTTTCTAAATTCCAAGCCATCTTTTAGTTAGTTAGCTATATTTAATTAACAATGAATTTTGGGTGAATTTCAGGCAATAATTTTAGGTATCTGTTAGGATACAGTCAAATTGAAACAGACAATTCAAGACTAGGCAAACGGAGACCAAAAATTTGAGATAGAGACAGTTTCAGACAGGGCCAATTTAAGACAGGGACAATTTGAGACAATGGCAATTTGAAGCAGTGGACAACCTGAGACAGTGACAAATTGAGACAGCTCCAAAGCAACTTCAAATTCCCATTGAATTCATGCAACTAATTTGAAGTGCAAAATATCAAATGACCTACAAAGTGTTTCTTGTCATTCATCCTGATAAATGCTCTTATTTTATGCTGAAATTTTTGGTATGCACTGTCTGCGCATCTTAAGTCAGTGTCCACATGCTGGGCCTTTCTTTTGATTTTTTTTATGGTCAAATAAGTGTCCCTATGTGAAATTGTCTTCTGCAAAACAAAATTAGGAGAACTTCTCACCAAACAGTGATATTTTTGTTCATTTTCACACCTAAAGCATTAAATATCAGGAAGAATTACAGTCAAGTCATTTTGCCTCAAACAGTCTTTGTCTTGAAATGTCTCAAATTCTTAAAATATGTCTGTCTTGAATTGATTGGTCCCTGTCTTGAAAAGCTTCAGTTTTGATTTTTCTCTGCCTCAAAAAGTTTCTGTCTGAAATTGTTCCGGCCTCCAAAAGTATCTGTCACAATTTGGCCCTGTCTTGAAATGGCATTCTCTTGAATTGGCTCTGTCTCAAATTGTTTGTCCTAGATCCATTTATGTTATACTTGAGGATATGTAATATACTTGAGTAAATACAGTATACTCATATATATGTGTACACAGTAGCAGTATATGTATTGATGAAGTTGAAGAGCAGTTATGGAAGTTGGCTGCATCTTCAACCTGAAAAGAGCATCCAGAAAAGCAGTTTAAAAGGTTCAAATCTGTTTGCATTTTGTCAATTATGATTAGATTTCAGAAGAAACAAACTATATGAACTATACACAAACCAGACAGACAATACAGTGGCCCCCCCGCCTAACAGACCTCCCGTGTAAGGGATTTTTGCCAAACAAACCAGCTCTGCAAGCAGTTTTTCCTCCTGCCCAACAAATCAAGTCCGTTAGACAGGGGGTTTACTGTACTTCATAGCCATAACCATTGCTTGTCACTGTCTGATCTGTGTTTTATGAACCCAGGTCAGCCTTACATTTTCTATCTGCAATACTGCACATCATTAAATATAGTAAGAAATTTACGGCATCATTTTAAAGCACATGTGTCTGAAATGCTTGGTGAAATGTGTTCATTCAAGTTGTCCCAGTGAGAATAGAACAGTACATGATGATGGAGTTTTTTATTCATTTTGCTGTGAGCTGAAAGTTTGTAAATAAGATAGTTCAAAAATTAAAATTTAAGCTTATTTCAAATGACACCTGCCATATACATTTTGTAGAATTTAAATTTTATTGAAGAGTTATATTTCTTGGAAAATTAATACTTTACTTTTGATGGTTTGCAAGGGCATGGTGTTAATTTCCAAATTTAAGTAATTTTTTTCTTCTATAATTTGCCAAGTCAAATTTTTGAATTAATCTCTTAATATTCTGCAGTTCAATTTGCATCATTCATTTTTTATTGGCTAAATGAAAATTGACGCCATTGTGATTTATATTCCCCATTTCAATAATTTCAAGCACGTTCCATGATTCTTGATTATTTGAAGCGCCTATATTGTGTATCACTGAAAAGTAACAAAGGCAACCGCTCTTTATATAGGTAGGAGAAGGTTTCACTACACGACTTGACCAAAGAAGTCCAAACGTCAAAACACTGACTCACAGTACGTACCCTTATTAAATCAATATTTGTACAAACGTACGCGAAAACACGTCTTTTATTGAGTCGTGTGTCGTGTAGAAGTAATTTCATTGTATCCTGTCATCCTATGTTCCTCATATGAAGGTTCTACAGAACAGAATTTTTTTGTAAATTTAAATGGTTGGATTTAATAGTACAGCAAATTCAATTCCTTTTGAAATTGATATACAATATAGAGGATTTAGTGCTGCTATGCATTTGTGGAATTTTTCCTGCTCTGAAAACAATTACTGTACAGTATTGATAACATATATCACAAAATGTAACACTGTATTTTCATGAAACTGTTGTTCTTCTCAGGGTCCACAGAGGGCACTAGCAGTACCAGCACTCAGATGACCACAACACCAGGTGGGTGTTATCATGTTGTGTCATCAGCAAAAACAATGAATGGGCACTGCTGACTAAGATTTATCACGTTTTTTTTTTTAAATTATTTTTCTCATTTTAGTTGCCTGTGATCCAGAGTGTTTGCATGGAGGATCATGCAGACCAGATGGTACATGTGAATGCGTAGGAGACTTTACTGGAGACTATTGCCAATGCTTGACAGAAGAATCGCTGTGCAAAGATGAATGCGGTGGGCCAGGTCAAATTTGCCAGGCCAAATGTGATTCTTTTCAGTGTTTTTGTACCAATGGAACCCAGTCCAGTTCGGATGGCAGTGGATCATGTGAAAGTGAGTTGCCTGGTGGAATTTTAACCCTCCTGCATGTAGCAAAGTTGAACATTTTTGAAAATTTAGGGTGTATACTTCAGAATGACATTTAAAAAAATCCATGACAGTGTGTGCAGAACAAAGCCAGGACAAATTCTTGTACTGTAATTTTTTTGTGCTTTCCACAGAGAAATTCACACAGAATGACAAAAATGACAAACTGCCTCTTGAAGACAGTATTTTAGCATGGCTTATATTTTTTGCATCATTCACATGTTTCATTTTAAGCTTGAAAGCCTGGCTTCCTGTTTATAGAATTTGTTTTCCAAAAAGTCCAACTTCGGAAAATCACAGAGAATCATAAAATCAATCTTCATTTCCCCATAAAACCAAACAAGGGTTTCATAAAATTGTGGAAAAATGAAATGTGGACCCACCCCATACAAGTTCAATTTTGTTCTGGAATGGAGAGGTACCCTCCAGTGCATAATTGCTAACAAACTAATTATTTTTAGCCACACTCTTGAGGCCTCATACCATAATGTGTATTGGAGAGTTGCCTGAGATTTTAAGCCAAGTTTTCTTAGGTATTCAACAATTCATGTTATAGAGTAGAATCTTCACTGTAACAAATCCCACTTATTATCAATAACAGTTTTTAAAGAGTTTGTTTTTGCCTTTGCCCAATAGCCAGAATCTTGAATGAGATATTGCAAATTGTGCAAGAGTGAGTTACCTGATGGGCTTTTAACCCTTGGATGGTGGCAGGATCATTTCCATCCCAGAGCAAAGTTGGACTTTTTTTTGGCCTGCATTTAATTTTTACCCAAGGTTATGTAACCCCTGCCAGGTGGGGAAGGGCAAAGTTGGATTCCATCCAGGGATAAAGAAATGCTGCAAAAATCTCAAGTTGGACTTTCTTGGTAGTGACCTGTAACCTGGGCTCCAGACTTTCAAGTTTGAATTTTATCTTTAAATGGTGGAAGAACATAAGGCCAGGGGAAAAAGTGAGCCTTGAGGATTTAATTTTTGTTTTGTATCTGAGTAAAATTTTTCTGTGGAAAATGAAAAAAACCAGGATTTTTCCAAACTTTGCCCCACACACACCTTCATGGTTTTTTAAACTGTCATTCTGTATAGTAAACCCAAAATCTGCAAAAAAAAAGACTGGCTTTGACGCTGAAGGGTTAAAGAGAGTTTTTATGGAGTTCAACTATTCATGTTCTAGAATAGAATATCAACGCAACAAATCCAGTTTTGGATGGATAATTGCTAGAAAAAAAACCTTTACTGGGGATTTCTTCAGTGCATTCTCTCCCCAATTCCCTCTCAAAGTTGTATCTGACATTGCTATAACAAATAATTTTGGTACTCCAACCACTGACAAACTAATTTACTTTGATCAGAATTCTGAAAATACAATTTGAGTGAGTTCAGGGTGCTTATTTGACAGTTGAAAATCATTTTCTATGGCCTTTCAATGAATGAATGAACAGAACACTTTATTTGCCGCTTTTCAGCATTCACAAGGTACAATCAATATTTCCACATCCAAACCTCCTCCCCACCCAACCCAAATCCCCTAAAAGACATTTAATCACTTCAAAGCAGGAAACAAAGCACAAATTGGTGACAAAAATAAAAGAAAATACAATCCATGAAATAAAACTGGACATCTGACGTGTATGCATACTCATTTCCTGACATTGAAAATAAAATAGCAATAAAAGTTTATTTAAAGCACAAGGTCTTCAGCTTGCTTCTGTATGAGGTTTAGTTGAATGAACAATGAAGTACAGAAAATAAATTAGGCACACCAAAATAAAGTTAACTATTGAATGGACTTGAAATTGCTTCTCATGCAGTTATAGTCATAACAATATGATGAGTGACAAAGGGCAACTTTCCAGATGATTGGTATCAGATGATTTGAATAAAACATGCAAAAATTCTCATTTCACAGACATCAATGAGTGCATGATAGCAGCATTTGAGGAAATCGACTTGTGTCCAGACCAGTATGCGGTATGTGAAGATGTGGATATAACTGAACAGGGATCAGAATGGGATGGCCTTGGTTACAAATGCACTTGTCCAAGTGGCACAGAAGAGGATCAGGGATCCTCAAGCACAACTTCCAGCCTTCTTGATGCTTTCAGAGATCCATCACAGATCATATGCAAAGGTATTCAATCATTTCTCATTTTTTTAAACTGAAGATTTTTGTGTTTGAACTCCTGAGACGAAAGTATGTGAAAGAAAAAAAATAACAACGTAATTCTAATCCCTTGAAAAAAAAAATTTCATTTTCGTAAAATACGCGTTGAAATTAGCGCTTGAAAATTGTCCTTGGTTTTTGCAGTCGTGGATCAATGCGAATTGCCAAATATCTGCACGGGACCCGGGGAAGTCAACGGAACTTGCAAAGATTCGGCAGGATTTTTGCCAACCTGTGATTGCGAAGCGCACTTTTTCCAAAACACCCAACCGACTGATGAAGTAGAGGACAAATGCTTCAGTAAGTTTCTATATTTTACAAAAGCTCAAGAGTTTGATTTGGAAATTTTTAAATTTGGGAGTAATCAATAAATTTACTCTTGAGTTGTGTTTACTAAAATTACAGGAAAATGGATCCAAAACTGCATGATGAGGTTTTTTAAGATTTATTTAACAGGATTTTTCATCATGAAATTCAAATTGGTTTCACTTGACTAACAGGAAAAGGCTTTAACCCAGAATTAAAATCCAAAATCATATTACCCGTGATGACTCAAATTATTCACTTACAATAATTTGACGGTGAAACTTTTTAAAAGGCTTTTTCACTGTTTTTATTCAATGTAAAATTTTTCTTCCTTTTTTAAAATTAGAGTGCGTAGTGATAAAAACTTCAATTTTTAATTGTAGTGTGACGTCAGCTGTAAAAATGCCAAAATTTGGCACACGTAACTTCAGAAATTTGACAGAATTGGCGATTATTCGCCTTCCATGATTTCTTCCTCATATATGTGATGTATTTTTGTGGATAACCTTTCTTTTCCAAACAGGCCACCGGAAGTGCTTTGATGTGACCCCTGAAACCACAAACTGCACCTACTCAAATTATTACCCAGAAACCTGTTCAATGAGTTTGGGTGAAATAACCTGCAGTTGTCCAACTGGTTCCGAACCTGCAGAGGATCCAGTCATAGAAGGAGGAAACCTGTGCATTTCACCTGCAGGTAAAATTAATTTGCTATTGTATACAGGTTGAAAGCTCGCAAAAAAAATCTGCGAGAAGACCATGGCACCCTTGTCATAGCTGGCAATGATATTGTGAAATGGTTGAATTGCATGCAAATGTTCATGTCTCATTTAAGCAAAAAAAAAATTTTGCTTAAATGAGACATGAACATTGATTTTATTGAATTTCAAAACGTCAAGTGTGAGTATAAGGACCTTGAAAAGTCACATATGTTATTCGGACAATAAAAAATCAATTTTTAAAGCTACTGCATGTAAGTTTTCCTTTAAGCAAAACACTCATTCATTTTACAAATATGCTCCATTTGGTTTTGTGTGTGAATTTTGGGAAAATTCAGGATGAGAAAAAATTATTTCTTGCTTTCAAATTCTCAATCTTGGCAGAATAGAGAAAGGAACATTTGTAAAAAAGGGTTTAAAGAAATGAAAATGGCAGTTTCCTATATACTGCTGGTTATGTGTTGATGTTTTCTATAATGTATTTATGTGGTTAAACAAATTTGCTGAGTCTGGTTTAAAATCATTTTAAACCAAAAAGTCTGTGTTTAAAATCTCTCAATGCTAATCCTATGAAAGGAATGGGAAAAAATTCCACACAGCAGCCAGTTTTAGGAAAAATTTTCCATCAAAAGTGAAAAAATGGGATTATTCTTGACTTTGTCTCTCTCCTGATCATTGCTGTTCTTTCCATTTTTTGTATACCTTGTCCGGGGCTAATAAGCCTCTGTAACAAAGATTAAAGTTTCTGCTCAATATTCTCAAGCAAATAAATGATGTAGTCTCAATTGGCCGTTTGCGGCCTGAGGTCAATACCTCAACGTCTGAGTATATGTTCTTCAAAGTTTTCACAAAGTCCAAAGATGATTTTTTCAGCACACAAAATACGCAGTCTGTTCTCTCTGGAGCTCAGAAGACAAGTGACAGTTTTTTCACACTGAAAGGAGCAGGCTCAGGTCCTGGAGACCACCTTTCAAAGGAGTTCCGAAAGACGGTCACACAGGTTAACAACAAACCAGTCCGAGTCGATTAAGAGTACTAAAACACACTAAGTGTACTCACCTTATTCAGAACCTCTACATTATCTCGAAGGCTATCCCTGGTGTGGTCAGGTTTCCTGGGAATCTTGTTTTCTTTTCTATAATATAAATATTTATTAATACTTACTTCTTTTGCAGGAATTATTCTCTCAAAAATTGTGTTGACAACTTGGTGTTTTGTACGCCATGTCATTTTCTTGTATGTTCCATTGCTGTACCAACTTGGGTGACATCTAGTTGTCCCAAGTTAATCAGGGCGTACGCGGGCGACATCTAGTCAACCCATGACATACCTTGTGGCACAACATTTTGCAAATAAATCCCAAGACTGTCACTCAAGGGTTAATGAAATGCATGACTCATCTTTTACAGGTTCGGAGTGCACTGAAGATCAGGTGAATGCTTGTGGAATTCATCTACCTTGCCTGAAAGCAGAGGATGGAAATACCACTTGCAGTTGCATTGAAAACACAATCCCTGGCCCTGATGGCAAATGTCATGGTATATGTTCTATTTCACTTGGCTGAGTGCCATCTTGAATTCACCTTGTAATCAGGCTTTTTTTCAATTCCAAAGTTAACTTGGCTTCTAGCTGAAATCCAACTTGATCACATGAACAAAATTCAGATTCCTCTTCCATGTATACCTATGTTCAAGCTATAATCTGGTTGTTTTATTTTTGGACGCATTCTTATTTTTGGTTCCATATGAAAAAAATAACATTTTTAGCATACAGTTGACCCCTGCCCAACAGACCTCCTGCATGATGGATTTTTGCACAACAGACCACCAATGGAGGCAGTTTTCCCTCCAGCACAAAGTACTAAATCTGCATAACAGATTTCTGTTGGTTTAAAATTGATGGTGAAAGTCAAATATTTACTTTATAATAATTGAATTTGCATAACAGACTTTTCACACAACAAACTAATTTGTTGTATAAATTAAGTCTGTTGGCTTGAGGTTGACTGTCCTTCAAGTATTGCCTTCATTTATGCGTATATTTCACCCAAAATGTTGTCATGCAGTTTTCACAAAAATATGCTAAAAATCCCATGACTGCATGTAATAATTGGAAAATGGCCCCATTTTTTGAATTTTCAAGTGTTCCGAAGTCAAATTGCCTGTATGTTATGGTGTATGCATTTCAGGGTCTTACTGTATAAAGATGAACTCCATGTAAATACTTTCACATCACTAAAATTGAAAGCAACAATTCCAAGAGCCCAGTGCTATGTCAACTGGAATGCAAAGTAAATTTTATCCATTTTTAGTTCTCCTCAGATCTTGCATTAAGTTCCCAGCAAAATTAATTGAATTAAAAATTTTTCAACGATCTGCTGCTTATTGTTAGAATGGGTGCCCCTTTTTTTTATACTCATTTAATGAACTGCTGTAGTTTTTGATCATGATTATTGAAAGTAACGATGGGAGTAAAATTGATGGTGAAACGAATATCATTTCTATTTTTTAGACAAAAAATTGAACCATACGTCTTCCTATATTCGCGTGGATTCCGTATCTTTTTAAATTTAACATTTTTTGAATAAAATTTTCAAATAAACTTACACTTTTTTTAAATATCATCTGATACAGCATGCGGAATCTCTGAAGGAAAACGAAGGAAATAGATTTGAAATAATATTGCTGAATTCGAGGGAAAATTTGCATTCCATTGAATTTCTGTAGAAATATCACGTTTTTTTTCCTTCATAAATTCTTTTACATATAGAAAACAACAGCACGCAAATCGAGTGTTCCCAGGCAGACGAGGACTACTGCGCCAATTCCATAGCATCAGAGCCCACTTCCGCAAAATGTCATGGTATATGTTCTATTTCACTTGGCTGAGTGCCATCTTGAATTCACCTTGTAATCAGGCTTTTTTTCAATTCCAAAGTTAACTTGGCTTCTAGCTGAAATCCAACTTGATCACATGAACAAGATTCAGATTCCTCTTCCATGTATACCTATGTTCAAGCTTAATCTGGTTGTTTTACTTTTGGACGCATTCTTATTTTTGGTTCCATATGAAACCAAAAAAAAAACATTTTTAGCATACACTTGACCCCTGCCCAACAGACCTCCTGCAGAATGGATTTTTGCACAACAGACCACCAATGGAGGCAGTTTTCCCTCCAGCACAAAGTACTAAATCTGCATAACAGATTTTTGTTGGTTTAAAATTGATGGTGAAAGTCAAATATTTACTTTTTAATGATTGAATTTGCATAACAGACTTTTCACACAAAAAACTAATTTGTTGTATAAATTAAGTCTGTTGGCTTGAGGTTGACTGTCCTTCAAGTATTGCTTTCATTTATGCGTATATTTCACCCAAAATGTTGTCATGCAAGGTTCACTAAAATTTGCTAAAAATCCCATGACTGCATGTAATGGGAAAATGGTCCCATTTTTTGAATTTTCAAGTGTTCCCAAGTCGAATTGCCTGTATGTTATGGTGTCTGCATTTCAGGTTCTTACTGTATAAAGATGAACTCCATGTAAATACTTTCACATCACTAAAATTGAAAGCAACAATTCCAAGAGCCCAGTGCTAACTCAACTGGAATGCAAAGTAAATTTTATCCATTTTTAGTTCTCCTCAGATCTTGCATTAAGTTCCCCACAAAATTAAATGAATGAAAAATTAGTCAATGATCTGCTGCTTATTGTAAGAATGGGTGCCCCATTTTTCTATCTCTTATATAATGAACTATAGCTTTTGATCATTATTATTGAAAGTAACGATTGGAGTATAATTGATTCTGAAACGAGTATCATTTCTATTTTTTAGACAAAAATTGAACCATACGTCTTCCTATATTCGCGTGGATTCCGTATCTTTTTAAATTTAACATTTTTCGAATAAAATCTTTAAATAAACTTACACTTTTTTAAAATATCATCTGATGCAGCATGCGGAATCTCTGAAGGAAAACGAAGGAAATACATTTGAAATAATATTGCTGAATTCGGGGGCAATTTGCATTCCATTGAATGTCTAAAAATATCACGTTTTTTTTCCTTCATAAATTCTTTTACATATAGAAAACAACAGCACGCAAATCGAGTGTTCCCAGGCAGACGAGGACTACTGCGCCAATTCCATAGCATCAGAGCCCACTTCCGCAACTTGCAAATACAACGGTGAAACTGGACAGAAAATGTGCGAGTGCCAATCCGGGTTCACAAACAACCCAAAGGCTCCTCCGCCATTTGCGCCATGCATTCCAGGTACGGTACTTTTAAAAATATTCGAAAATTTTGCGATGTGGCCAGAAATTTTCATTGCTTTCGAAAAAATTTCCTCCTGATTCATGCATATTTTTCTCAAAGATGTGCAAAATACGTTTTGTATCAAATAAAACCCCCCCTCTCCTCATTTAGAACAAATACGGAGCAAAGGAAAACCAGAAAAAATACAATGCCACACAGAAAAATTTAGAATACCCCTTGGATAGAATATTTCTAGTCCGGGTTTTTCAAGTAACAAGAATTAAAGGCATCTTCATATAAGAACCATTGTATGTTCACTAAATACTGGTGTGCAATATTCAATGCAGAATTATTTTAGAAGCTATCATATAAAACACACTTCTGGAAACCTTTTCATTTGATAATTTCTTCAAGCCTATTTTAAATCTCAAATCACCTGAGTGAGTTCAGATCACAATCAAAATGATTCAATAAAAGACCATCATGAAAAAAAGGAATATAAAAACTAATGCTTGAACCATGGATGACTGTGCATCTTCTCAATTTATGTGGATATTCTAAAAAGCTGTTTTCTTCAATCTTATACAACTGCTAAAGTCAATTTTAGCCTCAGACATTTAGCTGAAGCCATCTGTGGATCATTATTTGCACAGCATTCATCTTGATAGGACATGAAACATTTTCTGAGTCACCGCTTTAATGTACCATTATTAATTTCTAGTTAACAAATCTACCTCATTCACCTTGTTACATCAGAAGAAAGTTACAATTTATAGAAATTTTAATGAAAACAGATCATTTTTTCTATATCCCTGCATTTAGCCAGCATTTTTCTGATTTTCAAAATAGTAAAATGTCTATACAAAAATTTTATTCTGGTCTGAATTTCTTAAGACACAATAAAGTGTGAATTGACTGATTTAACCTTGGCCAAAATACAAAAAAAGGTAGTGGGTCACTAACTTTTACAATTCTTCCCACTTTTTTGTAACTGACGGACCCCAGACCGGTTGAAGAAAACACAAAAATTACCACACATTTCCCTTCTTCAAGAAATTCTCCCAGCTCAGATATAGAAGAACTCCTTCAAGGACTAATTTTTCTCCTCATCAACGTTTTTCTCGACAAAATAGCTCCAATTATTCTTTTATGCAAGTACCGCGAGAATTTTTGACGGGATTCCCACGAATATTCTATGCAAAAATAAATGAGACCTCAATCACTAACCGCAGTTATCATAATACCCTCACGTTTTGTAATTTGCAGATCAGAAACTTTGCGATGACGTGGAATGTGAAGAGGATCAAACTTGTGAGATTGATGAAAATGGAGTTCCTGGGTGTAAATGCACCTCTGAGTATTTCACCCTGGATGAAAACACTGCAAAATGCGTTGGTGAGTATACATGAAATACAGTGGACCCTCAGTTGACAAATCCCTATGCTTTATACAAACTGTTGTTCTGAAAGAGAAATCCTTTGGTTAATCAACAATTGGTCCAAGGCAATAAAAACTCAAATGTAAAAATTCCGAATTTGGTCATGATGACACTGAATGGTGGTAGTAGGGTACGATTAAATTTCAGTTGCAATGGATGAAGATCGAGCAGAAAATGTATTTCCCAGGCCAAGGGCTTTAGAAAGCATTTTTCAAGTTATTTGTTGAGCATTTAGTTTGCAAATGAGTATGTACCATGTATAGATTTGTCATGGTCTGAGCAGAAAAAATTGAACAAATAATATCCATCTGTCAGAGGCTGTGTTCAAAAGCACTTTCAAACAATTTTTTTCATTGGTTTCCACTGTTCAATTGCTGATTTTATTTTCTTTAGCTACAGCATAGCAAAATTAGCATTTAATTTTCTGGTGACAATTATCCTACTGATGTGTGAAAGTTTTTCTGAGTGTGAAGCATTTTGAGTGTGATTTTCAAAATATTCATCTTTATCCACCCATACCTTCACAACATCACACAGGATGATTCAGTGACTCATCCAGATCACATTTTTGTCATGTTTTTTTCATTCAATTGTGCATTGGATTTTTAGTTCCATGGATAGATTAATTGTTTCGCTCTTGAAGTCTGGGGAAGTCAAATTTGGTTAAAACACTTTTGTGCAGAATTAAATAAGTGCATTAATCCTTCAAAACATTGTAATACAGTAACTAATTCTGATCAAATTCTTGTCCTTAATTAAAAAAAATTATTACAATTGCATTTTGAGTTCCCAGACCAGATTACTTGGTTCTCACTTGTTAGCTTTGAACAATTTCACCTCAAAGATTCTCTTTTATTTTTTTTAATGATATCTTTTTTATCTGCAGGGGGGTGCTGGGCATGTAGATCAGTTGTGCATTTCTACATTCTGTGATGTATTTTATTTTCTGTTGATACCAATTTATAGCTTATTTCTCTACATTGCATCTTGATTTGATGGAATGTGCTTGGAAGGATGTGGGTGGGAAGGGGGGGGGGGGGGGGTGGATGTGGTAATATTGATTGAGCCTGGTGAATGCTGAAAATCAGAAAAAAAGCCTGTTTATGAATCAATCAATTGCAGCTGTATATGGAAAAATCAAATTGTGTCAACACACTTTTGGTTGGAACCAATTGAGAGCATTAACCAATAGGGCCTGCTTCATCTTCTGACCTTATCATTCCATCTGCAGACATTTCATTTCCAAACTTTTACATTTTTTCACTCTTTTATTTGGATGCAGTTTTTGATGGTTGTGCAATTGGGAATGGCTATGACCAATGCAGAAGAAAAAGTCAACTTTGCCGCACCAAGGTAATTCTGCCAGGGTTCCCCCCAATACCCCCATATGAATGCTACTGTGCGCCGCCATTTGTTGCCAATGATGACTCTGGTTGCGGTGAGTACCTACAATATGCATTCTATACTGTATATCTATGTTGTGAGGAATAATTTGCTGCTCAAGCATGAAGGCTGTATAAAGTGGTATATTTCTTCTACTACAAAATGTTTTATTTGTTCTATTAATATGATGTTCTTCACTTCTTTTAGTGAAAAGTGGCTCATTTCTTTCAGGGTAAAGTGGTTTATTTTATCTACAGCAAAATCTCAATACAACAAATACTGTTACAACAAAATTTCCAGTATAAAAAAATGTTTTGTTTGCAAGTCCTGGCAGAATGCCTGATGTAGACTGTATGTTGCTACCAGAATTTCCTCAAAGATAATTTATTAGTAAAACACCACAGTCAGCCTGGGACTGGCTGGGAGCCTCTTTATACAGGCTCCAAGAAATTGATATTTATTTATGTCTTGAAAGAATGAACAACTCAGCATCTTCTTCAAGAAAAGTACGCACACAACTAAAAATGGCTGGGAAGAGATTATTAATGCAAATGTGCTGTTGATTTGGAGTTTTTTAGCCTTTTGTGCATTATTGAGAAAGGGTTGTGTTAAACTCGTTCTTGGTGAAGGTTGGGATTCTTTGCTGCTTTCTGATTGGCTATTCATGTTAAAATTGAAAAGAATGTGCAGCCTTATTATTGTGCAAGTTTTGAAGGTTTTTGGGGGTTCTTGGAGGTTTGAGCAAGTTCTTGGGTGCTGGGCTCTCTGTAAGCCCTAGAATTATATAATTATAATTACTGTATTTATGGATTCAAACCTCAGTCTGGAACATGTGTATTAAACTCAATTAAAGCAATCTTCTTCTAACAAACTCTTCAATTCCAGTGAATCAAACTTTTTTGAGGAAAACATGATTTCACTGATGAAAACCTCCAATCAAGGCAGGCACAGACTCAAATTTCTCATTCAAAATTTGACTGTGACTGACTCTTGGGACACACTTGGAAGGTGGAATCAATGACAAAACTCTTCCAAATTCACCAGAACATCCTATCTTTCAAGAATTAGTCCTGAGTTTGAGAGGGGGGGGGGGGTTAGATGAAAAAAAGAACCCAGAAAAACTCATTTTTAAAGCAGCACAGCACTTGCTTAGAGTTTAATGATGCATAAAACTGCAAACTTTTTTGGAACATTCACCCTCATTAATCTCTGCAGACATTGTTCAGAAAGTTATAAAATTTACAAAAAGTGCTAGAGTTTACCTGTTATTCAGAGCTAGTGAGGGTTTTCCATAGACATTTTCTATTTTTAAATACTGCAGTCTTTCAAATTTGGAAATACATTTTGAAAGGCCGGATAAGAAAGATATTAAATATATGCATGTTTAATTCGAAATGATTCTCCAGTCGATATTTTGAAATTCCTTCTGTAACAATTTATTCATTAAAACAAACTTTTCTGGAGTCTGTATAAGTTTTTTTTACCAAGAGTTTACTGCATTGTAGTAAAAAATAATTTAGTTTATTCCTCCTTTATAAATTGGGATATTTCTTTGAGAATAAAGAAAGAAGGAAAATTGTCAGTCCAGGTAACTTCAAAGTGCAATCAAACACAAAATGTAAAGAACAGCGATGCAAAAAAACATATGCAAAACATTGATGGCCAAGCATCAACTTGGGCTAATGACCAGGCTTGGTCTTTATTGATTTAAAGGTAATTGATGATGACCAAGAAAACCTTCTAAATTAAAGTTGACCTCAGAGGTCATCAATCATTTCAGGTAAAAGAGTGTGGCCTCAGAGGCCATATTCGTTGCTTCATAATAATGAAAAATAAGAAGGATTATGGTTTGTGAGAACCCAAGCTTGGTTTTGGTACCACTCTGTAAAACAATCTCTACAAGTGAAGGAATTGAGTTTTATATTTTTTAGCAAAACTGATTCCCTCCTGAGAATATTGCTGAAAGAGTGATTTTTTCTCCCATATATTGATTGTACAGTATCACAGGATTTTCGACATTAATCAACGAAAAGTGGTGTGAGAGAAGAATTACTGTACAAACTGATGTTTGTTTTAATTTTGCGACAGCTGTTCCAACGAACTTCAATCCATCAAATCTCTTTGATGTCAGTATGCAACTCACTTTGACTCAAAATGAAACCGACTGGCTGTTGGCGGACACGGAGATGAATGGCGTGGTTTTTGCAAAATATCAGCACTTGTTGATGAACATGGTGAGCAAAACAAAAATCAGCCAAATGTTATGATGGTGTTAAATGTTGAAGATCATTCTTATTATTGTACATAGATCAACAGAGTCGATCCGAATGCAGTTGCGTACATTACTCGGTTTTCACGAGCGACATCTACCCTGAAAAAGCCAGGTGAGAAATGATTATACGCTGCAATTTTATTCACGTATTTCTAACCGGGAAAATGTAATGCCTTTTTATCAATCTTCCATCAAATATTTCGGAACCTGTTGATTTGAATTGTTATGAAATGATTGCCGTAAATATGCAGAAAAATCTTTCGTTGTTTCTGGAAAAATCAATTTTAAATCATAACTTACTGAACTGCGTATAGTTAAAATATTTGTCTATAGAGAAAACACAGATTCCTCTGGGAAGAAAACTCATCACTGTCATCAGTCTTTTTTACTGTGGGAACATTGTTTTTTCTGTATAGTCACAAAGTTTTTTAATCTTGCTGATTTGATCTTGCTTGTTATTGCTCATAAAAAATTCTGCTTTTAAAAATTCAATCCCTCATTGAAAAAATGTCATGATTTCCAGTACAAATTGAAGTTGTCAATAAATGCAGCAATGTGTGTGTGGCCTTAAATGTTAAAATTAAATCTTATGACTGCAAAAATATAATTGAATATTTAGATTGCTTTATAGATATTTTGAAAATAATCCCCAGAAACAAATTTCACTCTTGAATAAGAAAGTGCATGCCGAAAATTGAACTCTTTCAAAATGGCTGGTTATCATCCACTGAAGTCTGAAATCTTACCAAGTTCAAGTTTTATCAGATTTTTGACTGTTGAATTTCAATATTTTCCAGACACTCCAATTGATGTATCCTTAGCAGTGATGCCAACTGGGACTTTTACTGCAAATTCATTGGCACTTGCTGTACAGAGCACAACAATAACAATTGGTTCAGAATCATACTTTCAGGTTGGTGATGACCTCATCAAGGTTGCAAGAATTGATGCTGCAAAACCTCAAGGTAAGCTTTTCAATGCATTTCATGCATTATTTGAATGATACCAATGACAAACAGCCTGCAGTCAACCCCTGCACAATGGACTTCACTTGTGCAAAACACTAGTCTGTTATGTGAAAATCATGTAAATTTAGTTGGGAAGCAAGAGGGGATGTGAGGGACTCATGTTCAATGGTGCCAGGCACTTCTAAAAGACTGAAGTTTTTTATGCAGATTATTCTGTTATGCAAGAGGAAAAACTGCCTCCAGAGGCAGTTTGTTATTCTGCAAAAATATGTTGTGCAGGGATAGACTGTTTGCTGTTTGTTGGTATCAGTGTCAATATTGAATGGAATCCAGATGATGGTTTAAGAAATGTGACTCATCTCAAAAATGAAACTCCATGTTATTAGTCAAATGACTCAAATCCAGATATCAGTATTGATTACAAAAAAGTAGTCTAGACAATTCAAAATGTTGGGTCTGAATAATTATGCAGTACAGCAGTACATGCAATTGATTAAAGCATTGCAATTTTAACGGAAAGCAGTATTAAATGAATTTGTGTACAGGTAGGAAAATTAATTCAATTACAATGACCTGACACTACCTGACACTTTCATTTTTTATTTTCCCCTTGGTACTTCAACTTTTCAAGCAATTTTTTAACCTTCTCCAAGAAGCATGCCAAATATAAAAAATTATCTCAATGATTGTACTGGTATAGGTTTTTTTCTCCAGATGTTTCAACTATTCAAGTCATTTTTCATGAACTCATCAAAAAACATTTCTTACATTTCCAAAGACATTGCAAAAATATCATTACAACCATTTAATGTAAACAAACATTCCTATATGAAGATTAATTCAGTAAATATTCCCCTTTCAGTGGAAATAAAAGTGTCAGGCTTCAACTGAGGATTATGCACTTCAGCTCTGTCAGTGATGCCAAATAGGCTTCTACTGCAAAACTAGTTTTGCATATATAAAGAGTTGAGTTTTTCCCAACAGCTGGGATTTTACCCCTACCAAAGGGTTCACAAAATTGTAATTAAAAGTCAAGCAAATCTTGGAACACTACTCTGAACACAGAACTCTCAAGCAATAAGGAATCTATGCCAAATGTTTGCTTGAATCTTGAAAATTGAAATTGTACTACAAACTGGTTTGCAAATTTCAATTTTCTTGTGTAAATTCTGATTGCCAAAAGTGTTTATAGTATTGCAGAGACTTGTATTACAAGCATAGAGCTCATGCTTGTGAGGAAGCATACCTGGCTAATTTCCATGCTTGTCAGTAACTTTACTTTTATCTCGCTTATTGAACTCTGCTAACATTTTTGAATCAATGTTCATGGTTTGGGAACAAAATTCCACTTTTAAAGAACACTGTAATTTGACACTTGAAAATGTTCTGAGTCTCATTGTGCCACTGTCCTGGAAATATCATTATAGACAGCAAAATCCAATCATTGACATTTCTTCTTTCGATTTCAAAATTTGGATATGAAAATTTTAAAATGCAGGTGACCAAGTGGCGTGCTCCACTTTCCGGCCAGTGTGCCCTGAAGGAACCAGCTGTGTTGATGGATCCACTTACTTTGGCATCTCATCCCCATTCACTTGCACATGTGGAAAGGGTTACCAAGGCATTGGCTTGTCCATGGACATGTACACTGAAATCTGCCAAGGTTTGTTTGAAAATGATATTGATTGAATCATCCATTATGCATTGGTGGACATTCTCTTTATACAACAGACTTAAAGGGACCAAAAAAAACTTTGTTGAACAGGTATACAAGCTAGTCCTTTCCAAAATGTTAGAGGACAAGGAAAAAAAAGTTAGCTTTACATATGACTTCTCCTCAAAGATTATCTTTATAAATTGTTTGATCAATTGAACATTATTTGAAAACAGGCTGAACACTTTGTACTCTTTTTTTGCTGTGCAATTGCCTTGTCTTATTGTGATTTTTCATTTAAAAACATGTCAACTCAGGTATTTGTTGTATGCATGCATTCATATGTAGTTTTATGCATTTTATTTTAATTCCCAGACAGAAAATTCTTTGTTTCCTTCTGATTTTCCAAAATGTATTTGAATGGCGGGGATGGGAAAATTTATTTCAATCCTGTGAATAAAGCTGACAAGCAGCAAATAAAGCTTGTGTAACATATGAAGATAATTATATAGTAGAAAACCTTTGAAGAGAAAATATAATAGGCCCACAAAATGTTTGTTACACAGAGAAAATCTTTGTAGACAAAACTGTTATAGAGGGAGTCCTTTTGTACTTCATTAAGTCTTTTAGCATAAAACAGTCAACCCCTGCCCAATGGACTACCTCCCACACAACAGATTTTTGCAAAATAGACTGCCTCTGGAGTCTGGAGGTGGTTTTCCCTCCCGCCTAATGGACTAAACCTGCATATCAGGCTTCTGTTGATTTAAAATTGAGGGTAATGAGTAAAAATTTTCACTTTTGATCATTTAATTTGCATAACAGACTTTTCACGCAAGAGACTAATAGTCTGTTGCACAAATTAAGCAGGGGTTGACGGTATTTGTCAGTCCTTGATTCAATATGCTATCATTTGTCAACATGTGGCAGCTTTGTGGCAGTATTTAGGAAAACATGAAACTTAATCAAGAGTATTAAATAGTAGGTATCAACAGATTTTTGAAAGTAAAATTTGAGGTGCTAATTGGAGAATGCAATCAATTGAGGGACACTGAAAGCATTTTTATGACTCATATATAGACATAGATGAATGCAGTGTCGCAGGCAATAATGGGACTGAAGCAGCATACTGTCAAGGTGATGACGCCTATGTTTGTGTGAATCAACCTGGTGAATACAAGGTATGTGGGTTACATGCTCAAATCTTGTCAATAAGTCAAAAACCTCTTTCATTGAGTTTCCAGATATAATCCCTGATCAATATCCCCCTAAGTTGAATGCAATTCTAGACTCCCTAACTCACTACTTTTCTGAATCAAACCTCTCTCAGTCAACAAAGTTTAATCCCTTTTTGTTGTTATAGAATGGGGCAAAATTGCAAAAAACCTGTTACACGAAGCAAAACAGAAAATGTTCTTGATATTCTCCATAATGGAAGGATTATATGGGGAATTTCCCTGAAGGTAGAACACCTATGAATAATTAAAAATTTTAATAATTTGGCAAAAAATAAGTTCCATGGATTAACTTACAAAAGGAAGTCAAATCCAAAATTTTAAAGTCAATTTTAATTCAAAATCAACTTGAGAGCATAAACCATATGCAATGACCTTCATGGTCACCTCCTTTATTTAAATATACAGTGGCCCCCCGCCTAACAGACCTCCCGTGTTTGTTGGCTTGCTTCAAAAGTGAGTCTGAATACTGTGTATAGTTTTCAGAATTTGTATTTAGTAATTATACTTCCTTCGATTTAAAATTTAAGTTCTCTGGCNTTTTATGTAATTGAATTCGTGTAAAGGACTTTTTATCTAACAGACTCATCCCTTGCACAAATCAAGTCCGTTAGACGGGGGTTGACTGTACTTATGTTTTCTATAATAACAGAGCAATTCACTCAAAAATATTTTGGATTGAATTACTTTATATTTGAAATTGAGTGTAGTAAACTGATCAAGTCTGCATTTTTGAAAAATAAAAATCTCTGCTTCTTCATCTTCACAGACATAAAGAATTTTTAGTATTCTTAATTTAATATAAAAAAAGAAATTCTTTCGAAACTATACTCTTGCAAGATAACTATCTTGCTTTCTTGAGACATGATATTTTGCTACGCATATTTTAGATAAAATGCCAAAGTTTTTTGATTGGGTTTTGGCAGTGTTTGTGCAACGAAAAGAACGGGTTCTCTGAATTTTCGGAGCCTTGGGCAACAGGGAATGAAACCGTCAATTGTGTTGAAGTTTGTGACCCGCGTTTGACATTTGCTTCCACATGCGAGAAAAACAAGGGCAAATGTGAATTCGACCTGGGCTCTAGAGAACCCATTTGCAGGTCGGTTTTCTTGCCTCTTTTTTCCCAAAATTATCCGATTTCTTTTTGTTCCTGATTCAATGATTCAATTTCCTTGATGAAAATATTTTGCAGATGCGATTCCGGATACAAGGGAACGTTTTGTGACGAGAAGATCGAGAGTGAGTGCAATTCTTTCTTATAGAAAATTTTAAATTAAAGTTTTCCTGAAGCATATAATTTTAAAAATATTTCCGCTAAATTCCTGAACTATTCTAAGAGTTGAACAGCTCATTTTAAAATGTTTGGTACACACACGTGTTTCCTTTTCCATTAGGAAACCTATTTCAATTAATTATTGCAATGATTTAAAAAAAAGTGTAGTTCGAAAAAAAAACAGGAAATTTAATAAGCTGAATTTTCCCACAAAACTTACACACATTGCCAAAATGAATGCAGTTTTCACGGCTCAGAATCGATTGCGATTTTTAAAATTCTTTTTCAAAAAAATCAAATCAACTTCGAAAAGAAATTTGAACTCCTCTTGATACACTTACAAAATCTTTCCAAATTCCCGTCGGCCGATTCGAGTGAATCTCGATGCTGATCGACAGTAATTTCAATTTTCACATTCGAAGTATTGAAACGAAAATTTGAAATATCTTCCGATAAGTAGATATACATTATTATATGCAAAACCCTTCATTTTGATAACTTTTGAATTTTTTTGCATTATTGTATAAACAGAGTCCAGTGATGCAGCCATCGTCGGCGGAGTCCTTGGAGGAGTTTTGGCATTGGTTATCATCGTGGCTGGTGTCATGATTTACAGGTGATTTGCCATTTTTATTTCACCTAAAATGAAGCCTTTCATCGACTCAATGATTTAAAAAAAAGTGTAGTTCGAAAAAAAAACAGGAAATTTAATAAGCTGAATTTTCCCACAAAACTTACACACATTGCCAAAATGAATGCAGTTTTCACGGCTCAGAATCGATTGCGATTTTTCAAATTCTTAGTCAAAAAAATTAAATCAACTTCGAAAAGAAATTTTAACTCCTCTATTGATACACTTAAAAAAGCTTTCCAAATTTCCGTCGGCCGATTCGAGTGAATCTCGATGCTGATCGACAGTAATTTTAATTTACACATTCGAAGTACTGAAACGAAAATTTGAAATATCTTCCAATAAGTAGATATACATTATACCCAAATAAACCCTTCATTTTGACAACTTTTGAATTTTTTGAATTGTATAAACAGAGTCCGGTGATGCAGCCATCGTCGGCGGAGTCCTTGGAGGAGTTTTGGCATTGGTTATCATCGTGGCTGGTGTCATGATTTACAGGTGATTTGCCATTTTTATTTCACCTAAAATGAAGCCTTTCATCGACTCCATGTGGAATTGAAAACCCGCGTTTCGACATTTAAATATTCAAAAGCTCAAAAAAATGATTACGTATACGTTCGAAAAATATTTTGCGTGTAAAGTAACGCCCAAAGAATTGCCAAAGGCGAAGAAATTTTCAATTTTGACATAATTTCGCTAAATTCCGAAGACAATAAGATTTCAAAGATTTTTGAAGTAATGTATATGACACTGCGTCTTCGTTTTATGTTTGCAAAAATGATACAGTTTGAAAAGAAAATTCGTCAGTCCTTAGTTTCCTGAGGAATCCATGTCATGTATGGATTGCAAATAATTATTTATAGCAATTTTCTGGAAAATCTGTGAATAATTTAATTTCGCATGTAGGAAAGAGCGAGCTGGGAAATTGTCCATGAACTCGAAATGTCACTACGCTGTTTGTGAGTCTGACTGTGCCGGAATTTTTTGCATGCAAAAACAAACTTGAACGTGTTCACAAAGGGTATTTTTCCGGTTGGAAAATTCGTTATTTGAATAGCATCACATGGTTTGTTCTGTTAACTTTTTCTTTTGAATTTTTGGCGTGCATGGTTGAGGTTTTGCCTAAATTCATTCAATATACTATGATTCGGATTATATTAAGGGTATTATTAGGGTTAATTAATAGGTTTTTTAAAGGAACAGATGGATTATAACCAGCATTTTTACGAAGAAAAATGCAGACATTCATCCATTGAATTTTAATCTCCTACTGAGTTTAATAATTGGAGAGAAGGAAAAAGTTGAAACTGCGTTTATTCCATTCAATTTAAAGTGAAAAAGTGATATATTTTCTAAATTTCAAGATGGCGTAAGGTTAATCAAATGCAGTTCATCCAATGATTAAAAATTTATCTCACATGAACATTAGAAGTATCTTGAAATAATTGAAAAAATACTGTTTTCTGTTCTTGGCAGTAGTTTTCACTACAGTATATTTGTCAGTGATGCAAAAATGTTAGCCATAAAGATGCAAATCTTGAATAAAATTTGAATACAACTATTATTTTTTTAAATAATTTAGTTTTCTTTTCTTTTTGGTTTAACCAACATTTGCGTTTTATTTGAAAAATTGTGGATCTAAAAGAACATTTTCAAATTTTCATCCTGCTCTCCCTCTCTTTTTCAAAAAAGTGTAATAACTCTGCTTAATGGTTGCACTGCATGGTTTTGTGATTGTTTGTTCTCCTTCTCCCCCCCCCCCCCCTTTGCTATTCAAACGTTAAGTTTTGCCATGAAAATAACGAGATACATTTACATTCGCAGATTGAAGAAAAAAGGTCACGTCGTATGAGGAAATCGTTAGGTAAGAATTTTCTTTAGCTCAATTAATTTCTCAAGTTTTTCAGCATCAGAAATCAGTCAATTGATGCTTGTGTTTTTCAGAAATTGCTATCCAGCACAGGGGTTGAGGAAGGAATTCCTCCATCAATGAAATCAACTGACCTCAATTGATTTAGTCCTGGAGAAAAAAACACAAATGAAGAAACTATCCGAAATTTGGTTGTTGCAAGATATGGGACTGTGTTCGAGATTGCAAGAAAGGAAAAAAGAATAGGAGTGGATGATTGCTGCTGGTTTTGATTTTTCGAGTCTTGAACCAATATTTAATCTTTATTATAGCAGCAATGTTTGCTGTACAGTTTGTGTTACTCTGTGTACTTCCTTAGTGAAATGTGAGTCTTTGTTTTTTTTTTTTTAGTTCTTGCCTTGCGCCTTAAAGCTTTAACTGAAGCCTGTATTTTTGCAAGATGATCCAGGAAGTGCGCTTCTTTCAATTGGATTCTTGCATGAATGTATGACTTTGCTTTGCCATTTGATGTCTGAGCATGGTCCAATAAAAGGTTTTCTAAGAATATTTGCATGATTTTTTCCCTGATGAGCTGAAAATGGATTTTTTTTAGAATATTTTGGAATCAAACTTTAAGCCACTGAAGAAACTGCACTTGTAACACACAACAAATATCCCACAAGGAATTGTTGGAAAATTTAGGAAAATGTTTGATCATCTTGTTATGATTGCCACCCCAAATACATTGTTCTGATTTTATACATTTAAAAGAGACTTGTCTTTCAAGAACTTTAAAATGGTCACCAAATATAAGAAGCATGATATTCTACATCAGGGGTTTAATCCTCAAATGTTTTTATGGTACATTTTCTTCAGCATAATAAATTTTTGTGAGTTATTACTGTAATGGATTTATGCATCTTTATCTAAAATTTTGTGAAGACATTAATAGCAGTTGATATTATCTGATGAAAAATAAAAATTGGGTTTTTTCCTAAAAATGCTTCAGACAAATTTTCACTTTCTGAAATGAATTATTTCAACAATTCATTCTGTGAGAAACCTTTCTTGAAGCAAAACTTTCTATATTTTTGGAAAACATGCTTCATTGGTTCTCAACTCAATTTTTGCAGTAAAAGTTTTGTATGAATGACGTTATGGCAGGTATTTCAGCAATGTCCGCTGGTCTGCAAAAATGTTACAGAATTTTGCTCATCCAAAAAATTCATGGAAATTTGCTGGTATGCTTACATTTCTATGAAAATTTACCAGTCCTTATTGAGCATGAAAGGTTTGGGAATGCTGTTCAACACAACAAAATTTCAATTTCTCAACTCTGGTGAAAAACTTTCAACATGCTGAGAGATGAGTGGGAAACTCATCTGGCTAGCTGTTACTGGAAAATTTGTTCTTCACAATAAATATGCAGAGTTTTGAAAAAAAAATGGTTTTGCATACCTCACAAGAACAGCAAATAATCAGAACATTGCAAAGATGGAACTTTGAGTAAGTTCTCTTTTTAATTTTTGATGATTGCAGCATTTCCCCACATGCAATATCTTGAAACTTCTTTAACCCTTCTGCAGCAAAGTTGGAATTTTTTCAGATTTTGGCTGCACTCAAGAGTGGAATTGAAAAAACCTCAACAGTGGGAGCAGGGCAAAGTTGGGAAAAATCCTGCCATTTTTTAAATTTTCCACAGAAAAATTTCACCTGAAAATTAAAAAATGAAAACTTCATGGCTCCCTTTTTTTCCCCTGGTCTTCTGTTGTTTTCCCATTCAAAAATTAAATTTAAGCTTGAAAGCCAGGAGCCCAGGTTAGAGGTCAATACAGATAAAGTCCAACTCAGGACTTTCCCAGCATTTCTGTATCCCTGGATAAAATCCAACTTTGCCCTCCCCCCACCTGGCAGGAGTTGCATAACCTTGTGCAAAAATATAATGCAGGCTCATTGGGAAAAAGTCCAACTTTGCCCTGGGATGGAAAGGAGGCTGCCATCATCCAAGGGTTAAATGTCACTGATCAAAATGCAGAATCAGGAACCTTTTAATGAAACACAAAGTATTTCTCGCACCAAGATCCCTTCTGTCCACAGCTTCAATTACAACACAACAACGACAACAGTGATAAAACATATACAGTACAGTCATGAGGAATAAAAAAACAAACAGGGTCACACCATTGAATTTCCCGAATTTCGTTGCATTCCACGTCGGCCAATCCTCACAAAAGTTTCCGTCACTGATCTGCTTTTTTCATTTCAATTTGACACTTCATTCAAAAAAGGAGTCGGACGTACGCTGCTTCATAGAAATGCAAAGCGTCACGGCAGTATAATGATGTATTATTTTCAAATGGTTTTGAAAGATGCAGATTCGGAGGAGAGAAGGGGTTGCGTTTCTTGCCAAAATTCAGATGGTTCAGACACCCAGGAAACCCTCATGTCCCGCACGCTTCTCCACGCATGATGCATCAGCATGGGTATCGCCTAAATCAGAGAAAAAATAATAAACGTTTTTAAATTCAACATCACAGCACATCTTGTTTCCTTCGCGATGAACGGATGAATGAAAATTACACGCGATTACCAGAGTTATGAGAATTGCCGCACAAGCAGTTGTTGCTATAGGGAATCCGAATTCTTCCGTCAAAGATGCAGCCATCGCCGGTCCACACATGTCACTATAAACATGACAGAAAAAAACACAAGAAAGTTATTCACACACAGGATTATACTCGTGGAAGTGCTTGAATATTTTTTTTCATTACTGAATAAATTCAGAGACATTTTTTTGGCCGGATTCACTAATTTCTTTCTGCTAATTGTAAATGAACAAGAAATTGGAAGATGGAAATATACAATTATTGCAGATTATTATCAAGACATATTCTCTCACCAATTTGGTGGAGAAGACTTTTTTGTTTGTTTTAAGGGTCCCTAAGTCAAATTGTCAGTTCTTGGGTTTCCCACTGTGCTGTATTTTCATGAAAGTACTGTACCATGTAAACTTATTTTCTGGAAAATCAATAGGGCAGAAAAGTATGAGGTGCAAGGAATGCGGTTACACAAATTTTTGAAGAAAAATAATTAAGTTCAATCAGCCTAATAAAGGTGGACTCTCTACATGAGTCAAGAGACAAAAAACAAATTAATTGTGGAGAGAATTTTTTTTTAAAAAGAACTCCTATTAATAACATGAGGAAAGAGACCAATAATGGGACCACAACTAAATTTGATGTACTGTAAAGAGAAAATTGTTGCACACAAGATCATTGTAAAGAGAGTCCACCTGCATGTACAATCTTCAGTTATAGACTCCAGATCATATTATGTCACACATGAGAAAAATTCCATTGGAAACATGATTTCCAAATGCAGCAGACCAAAATCATGAATCTCCCAGCAGCATTGCCGCATTGTTGAAAATGTTTTTGAAAAAATTTTACGCTTCCTCTCATCTGGGAGTTTCTTTTAAAATTTCATAAAAAAAAGCATGCTTGTTTTGGATTATGCTCAACCTCAGCTTACCCAAGTGAAAATGCAGCATTCCATAGACCTCCTGTGAACGCATATGTAGCAACATTGTTCTCATAGCCCAGTTCTCTGCAAAAACAGTGGAATGACAATCAACACAATATCTCAGTACAGTAAAATCTCATAATACAACAAACTCCAAGGAACCCAAGACAAAATTACCTATAGTCACAAAGGCGTTCTTATGAGATTCTTGGTTCTTTGAGAATGTAGGACTGACGATTTACACGAAAACAGATGAAAAATGGTCTGAAGATGAAAAATGGTCTGTACTTCCACAACAGATGATGTGTGAAGAATGCCCCTTTGGATGAAATAATGAAGAAAACTTAAAAAATATTAATCACTGTTACTTTATTTCAGACCTTTCCTTTCTTAAATTTTCCCAAAAAAATCTGATCTTACTGAAGTATAACCTGAAACAAAACAAAAAATACATGCCTAAGATCATCATTTATCCATTCAANGTTTTTGAAAAAATTTTACGCTTCCTCTCATCTGGGAGTTTCTTTTAAAATTTCATAAAAAAAAGCATGCTTGTTTTGGATTATGCTCAACCTCAGCTTACCCAAGTGAAAATGCAGCATTCCATAGACCTCCTGTGAACGCATATGTAGCAACATTGTTCTCATAGCCCAGTTCTCTGCAAAAACAGTGGAATGACAATCAACACAATATCTCAGTACAGTAAAATCTCATAATACAACAAACTCCAAGGAACCCAAGACAAAATTACCTATAGTCACAAAGGCGTTCTTATGAGATTCTTGGTTCTTTGAGAATGTAGGACTGACGATTTACACGAAAACAGATGAAAAATGGTCTGAAGATGAAAAATGGTCTGTACTTCCACAACAGATGATGTGTGAAGAATGCCCCTTTGGATGAAATAATGAAGAAAACTTAAAAAATATTAATCACTGTTACTTTATTTCAGACCTTTCCTTTCTTAAATTTTCCCAAAAAAATCTGATCTTACTGAAGTATAACCTGAAACAAAACAAAAAATACATGCCTAAGATCATCATTTATCCATTCAAAAACTTTATGCACATTGAAATGGAGGAGTATCATATCAAAACGTATTTTTCAAAATATCAGCCATTTAAATATTCTAACACATTTTGAATAAAGATTCATATTTCCTCCAATGCTTAATCTTCTTTGCAAATAGAGTGGACTTCATATTTTTGTAGGTTTTCAAATTATTCACGAGTTAGGTTTTCCCATATTGTGCAAATTCCCCTGCACACATGATCAAGGCAAAAGTTTCTTATAATGAGATTACAGTATAAAGGAAAATTATTTTGACATTAACAAATGTTTTTATAGCGTTGTCCCTAAGGAGAAACCGCTGGAACCAAGCAAAACTTTGTTATAACGAGATGCATTGGAACCTATTTTTACTGCTGTACAGTGTAAGAATTTTTTTTCCAGAAAATAATTTCACTTACCCAGCACAGTCAATCAAGGCTTGGAAGGTTGGCACCAGAGTGAAAGCTGAGGCGAATCCGATCACGAACAGCCCAATGATGTTGATAGCCAGAGAACTTAAATTTTAAATCGAAGGAAGTATAATTACTAAATACAAATTCTGAAAACTATACACAGTATTCAGACTCACTTTTGAAGCAAGCCAACAAACACGGGAGACGGTCCAATGATGATATACCCCACAGCATAAATCACCAACCCGATGCCCATGAACAAGTACCTCTTTTTCGGGTATTTATCAGACAAATGCCCAGAAATGGGTGCCACGATTGTGTAGAAGCTCAGGTGACACGCGAACATGTATCCAGACTCAACCTCGGTCAATCCAATCTGCCAAATATTAACGATGATGGCTCCGAGATTTTTTATAGAAAACAATTGAAGAAAATGAAATCATGATGAATTTTTCACCTCAGCAAGGTGATTCGTGAGAGTAGGTATGACATATGCTATTCCCAAAGCGTCGCCAAAAACTGCTGAACACACCAAAAAGGTCGGCAGGTATCCGAGAATTTTCCAAACAGACATTTCCTGCCCAGTTGTCCTCTTGATGGACAAATCTGTCAATATAAATAAATACTAATAATAATCCAGCATACAGTCAATTTTTTTGTTATTGGTCCCATGAAATTCAACTAAAACAGCCCGAGTGGGGAAATTGGTGCACACTGGGGATTTGTTCATAATTCTACACAGTGACCCTGCTGTGCACCTGAACTGTACCAAAGTTCTTCTTTGGCACATGCATATCCCCAATGTGCACCAATTGTGTGTTCACACCAGAATTACTAAATACAAATTCTGAAAACTATACACAGTATTCAGACTCACTTTTGAAGCAAGCCAACAAACACGGGAGACGGTCCAATGATGATATACCCCACAGCATAAATCACCAACCCGATGCCCATCAACAAGTACCTCTTTTTCGGGTATTTATCAGACAAATGCCCAGAAATGGGTGCCACGATTGTGTAGAAGCTCAGGTGACACGCGAACATGTATCCAGACTCAACCTCTGTCAATCCAATCTGCCAAATATTAACGATGATGGTTCCGAAATTTTTTATAGAGAACAATTAAAGAAGATAAAACCATGACGAATTTTTCACCTCAGCAAGGTGATTCGTGAGAGTAGGTATGACATATGCTATTCCCAAAGCGTCGCCAAAAACTGCTGAACACACCAAAAAGGTAGGCAGGTATCCGAGAATTTTCCACACAGACATTTCCTGTCCAGTCGTCCTCTTGATAGACAAATCTGTCAAAATAAATAAATACTAATAATAATCCAGCATACAGTTAAAAAATTTTTTTTGGTCCTATGAAATTCAACTAAAACAGGTTTTGAGTTAGGGAAACAAGCATTTTTGTTATGGAAAACATTGAAGAAGTGCAGGGACTTTGTAAATGATGATATTCTAGATCTTCAATTGTTTTTTTTAATGAGTTGACAGGATGCTGAACTAGTAGGCAGGGTTTCATTTGCCCATCACTTATTGAGACTTTCACTTTCTTCAAAACACACCAAGTTACTTTTTTATACCTTTTCTTTACCTTGAGTCAAGAAAATCAGCCTCAGAAAATTCAAATTACCATGTTTTAGAGGAAAAGGCCTGGAGTTGGAGAGGTTTTCAATGCACAATTTTTTCAAATTATGGCAATAAGTCAAACACCAGTCAATTCTTTGACATTTTCAAACTCTATCCAGTTTTTATTTTGTAGATAGCTACTTTTTGATCACTATAAATGAATGGAAAATCAACTGAATATTTGATAGCCTCCGTTTATTATTTTTTTTAATTGACCAGAACTGTGTAAAAGAAATGAAACTTTTTTGAAGAAAAAAAAGTTTCAACATCAACAATCCACTCACCTTTCGACGAAGGAACAGCCAAAAACATCACAATGCAAATGCTAAGTAGCAAGCATCCCAGCGCCAAAAAAGGGAGATAATATCCACCTGCCTTGTATATTCAAAAATAACGTGATCATAACACGACAACAAAATTTTGTTTTGCGAAAAAGTGCACCATATTCGCGGAATGTTTTCCACCTATGTTTGGCAAATGCTACTCACTGCATAAAGAGCGCTGCCCATCACAGGACCAATCGCCAACCCAAGTCCAATCATCACTTCCAGAAGTGCCTGAAAAAAAAAAAGAATTCACCTCAAAAACAATGTTGACATTATTTATTTTATGGAAACCATGCCATAATGGACAGAAAATTGAAAATCTATACCAAGCAAATATTAAATGCACTTCCATTAATCATGCCATAATGGGAGGGAGCAAATTACAGTACAGTATTTTGGTTTACCACAACTATGGGTATGCAACCCTTGACTAAAATGGCAGGAATTTACGTGGAAATCCATGCCTGGAAAATGATCATTTCACATCACAAATGATGAAAAAAAATTTGACATCCTCAGAATAACAATAATTGCTGCAAATTTTAAAATGCTTGAAAAATACATCCAGATTCAAGGAACATCCTAGTGCTGATCAAAATTGTTGCAGATTTTTGAACTGCTTTAGCCCTTGGGTGACAGCATGTTGTCTTGCATTATACGTGGCAGTGCTGGGATTTTTTGGTAGGCTGCTACATTTTGGTTTAACCAAAGGTCACCAAAATGCAGCTTTGGCTGAGCATATCCAAAGTTGGGGAAAATCCCTCAGAAAGAAAGTCATTGTCCTGATAATCCCCCAATGCTAATCCTATGGCAGGATAATGCAGAAAAAATGCCAGCCAACAGTAACTTTTATCTTGCAAATTTTTCTGCAGGAATGGTAAAAAAAAATGGGATTTCTCCTGACTTTCGCTCTTCTAATCATTTTTGTTTGCCCTTTTTTCAGTCCTTGGGGCACCAAATTTTGCCAATAAATCCCAGCACTGCTGCCCAAGGGTTAAAACATACTGTACATCCATGGGCATTTTACATCTGAGTGCTGAGGCAATTACACAACCTGCAAGCACTTCCAATTTCAAGCACAGTTTCTACATTTCAAAACTTGAAGAACAAATGAGCCTGCCATCAGGATTTATATGTCACTGTTGCTGAAGCTTTTGGTGGATTGGGGCTTGAAAAAACCTAGTTCACAAATGCATGAATGAACTTAAATCTGCAACGTGAAAAAATTCCTCTCTCATTAATTTAAAAAACACTGAATTACAATACTGTAGAAGTGTAGAGTATATTAAAGCTACAATAATTTGCCCTGAGGGAAGCAAGCATTTTTTTCTCTCAACATCTCCAGACAGGATGATGCCATTGATTATCCAAGCCCCTTCTTTATGAGATCTTAACTAGGGGTTATTCCAGTTCTTACACCATATCACAGTTCTCTTATTCTCAGAATTGATGATTTTTTTATTGTTGGACTGTTGAATAATTCTTCATTTATTTGTGCATACTAAGATTATTCTTACCATGACACTGCCCATGGTCTCCAGGAACATACAGGCCACAATTGTGAATAAGGCTGTGTTGTAAGCTGCGAATCCCATGGCTTCGATGATCCTAACCACGAAACAAGCCGCAGCAAAACCTACAGTGTCTGGAATGAGGTAGAGAAATCTGGAAAACCCAAATCAATATAAGTCGATGATCATAAAATTGAGCCTTGCACATATAAACATATTACGTTGAATTGCAAAATTCGATGCAATCAGAAACGTGCACATTGAAAAAAATATTACCTTTGAAAAGGGACTCCCGGAAATTACATTCGGATTCTGAGGATTGTTCAGAATAAAAAAATTCGAAACATATATAGATTTTTACTTATCTTAAATTGTGTAAAACGGATTCACTCTTCTCAAAATCGCTTGAATTTACTTTGTCCGCAACTTCATACAGATTTCTCCAGGATGAATTCACCCAAAAAATAATAACTTCAATTCGAACTAAAGCAAAATAAACTTTGAGTCACTATAAAGTATAAAGCGTAATGAGAGACACGTGAACGCCTTCTCGAGAATCAAAACTCACTTATGAAAAGGTTTAGATCATTGTAATGCAGTACTTAAGAATAAAACGACAGCTTCGAAGAATCTTTTCAGCATTGGCGATCGTTTTCAACAAAATGACGATGATGTTATTACTGTCAAGACGAATGGAATAAAAATACTCTCTCTTCAACGATTTTCTCTGTATAAACATTTTTCTGGGGTCTCCACTCACATAATAGAGGTCCTCCAGAACAAAACTCTCTTTACAACGATTTTTTTCTAGTCCCCTGAATTTCCTAGTAGCGAGAATTAGAAATTTTCAAACGGAAACCTCAATCGAAAGATGAAAACTCACCCGAAAATAATGCAAGCAGTAGCCGTAAGTGTTCCACCGGTCATCACTACTGCCTTTGGACCAAGTTTAGGAACCTATGAAGAATACAAAGCACATAATTTTCAAACGCGAAAAAAAGGTTTTGAAGAAAAATTTTATTTGAAAGAAACAGAGACTCACGATTCTCCCCCAAGCAGGAGACATAACAAACGTGGTGAAGGCATAGGAACTGAAGATTAATCCTATCACATGTGGTGAAACTCCTTTTGCCTCGGCCTGGAAAAAAAAAGGTGACGAAAATTTTAGGCAATAGTCACTTTTACAATACTATATGCAAAATCTCGAAAATCGATAATCTCTCCAAAAATGAGTAGTGTCCAGAATCCAAAACTAAATCCAGATTACAATCTTGTAGGGTTCTCTAAACCAGGAGAAAATTTCTTATTTTTCTTATGAAATTAAAAGTACAGTTCTCCTTGGTACAGTGCATAAAAATAAAAACTTTGCGTCGAAATACTCTTCAGCTTGTACACTTGAACCTTTGGATTGAAGCCTTCAAAAATTGATGGCATGTCCCCATTAAAGTTCCACCTTGTTCCAAAAATACAATCATTTGTTCATGTCTTGAAATTACAGGAAAATTTTCCTGCAAAAAATCTTGCTACAGTACAATGAATGCTTTGTTTCAAGGAACTTTTTTCTAGTTCTTAGCAGTTTCCCTATGTGCGCCATGCAATAGACACCCTCTTTCAACAATCTAATTTTAGAATATAATTTCAGTATCATGAATTGTTGGCCCTGACGATTGTGTGCATAAGCCATCAGGAATAAATGATGAATGTCATAAAAACGTTGAAAAAAATTGATCTGCAGCAATTCCAACATCATTAAAAATGCAAAACATGAGAATATTCAGCATTCAAAAATGCAAAACATGAGAATATTCAGCATTCAAAAATATAAAATGCATATTAGTATAAATTCTCGAAGTCCAATTGAGAATGCATGCCTTTCTTTTCAAACAAACACTATTTTCCAAAGGATTTTCCAGTGTTTGAAAGAACCTGTACATATGAATAAATTGATAACTTCATTTCTCCCACATGCACTTTTGTTTTGTTCAATTTCTGAACACAAATGGAACTTCAGTAGAAAGAGAGGTTCATTATAAGAGAAAGCATTTCATATTCAAAAATGTTCCTCTTCTTTTCTTGAGAGACTCTCATGAATTTACAACAGATTTTTGCATATCCCTTGAAGAGCATTTTACACTATTCATCACCCACATCCAACAAAATGTTTGTCTAAGATGTGTTAAAAACCATGAATGCTATTGACACAAATGATTTTGGCATAACAATTTCATTTAGCAGGTCCTTGGGAGTTTAGCGTATCCAGATTTTGCTGTATAATTGCAAAAAATTAGAACATGCATTGATACAGCAACATTTTTCCATCAACTAAACCTTATCTGGGAGTAGGCTGAACACCTTGCAATTTAATTTGGGTTCAGTAATTGCCTTATGCTGCAATTCTTATTACTGACATTTTTTTGTTATCAGGGAAGGGAAGAGTGTTTATGTATTTACATAAGTTGTGCAATTGTGAATTTTGGGATGTATTGTACTTTCTTTTCTTTCAATATCCATAAACAGCTCATTTTCTCTGTTTTCCATTCTGATGTGATGGAATGTGTTTGGATGAATGTGGGTCAGGAGGGGAGGGTGTTTGAATGTGGGGAACATGCTTGAACCATTTTGAATGCTGAAAAGCAGAAAATAAACCTTGCTGTTCAATTCAATTCAATGCACACAACAACATTCTTCATCCATCACTTGAGCAAATGAATTCCAGTACTTGATAGAAGAAACGGAGAAAATACATGCCTCGGCAGGAAAAAATGGTCCCATGATAGATAAGCAGGCAAAGCCGCAAAAGTCGACAAACGCCAGAGACAACACCACCAGTGTCTGACGACCACTCCATTGCTTGCAGGCCTGCCACAATGTCAAGGCAGAGTCCACAGGAACCACCGAAGCCTCGGACACCCCTTGTAAATACATTGAAATAGAAGATTCGATTCAGCAATACTGTATTATGAGGAGTCCAGAAAATTTTCTCACACTTCTCTCAATGAAAAATTGATACGGCATAAATTTGAGCTGGTAAATTATTATTGTTTTCAGACGAGGATAATTTGGAAAAAGAAAAATATATATTAGCTCTGCATGGTCGACACATTTTAACGAAATATTTCTTGTTGTATAAGTCATACTAAATTGCACGCACCACTCTTGCAGATTTTTTTTTGTGTACCCCAGCTTTCCCTCCTCAATAATAAACTGACATGGAATAAATTTCAAAAGTTGCCACCATTAAAATTGATTCGCAAATAATGTACCTTGGAATGCACGGAAGCAATCCTTGGAATTAATGCCAAGTCGATACACAGTACTTCGATGCTTCAAATTGAAAGCTTCAAAATAATCAGAAACAAAAATCACACCTCGAATTCTGGTGCTTCCAGCAGATGTCGTTGATTCCCCGTCATCCGTCATCTTGATTACTGCGCACAATAAGGAACCGCGGACGCGTTGATCCACATCAGCGCTTCACGTAGAGTCCCTTCGGAATTGATCTCTTATCACGATTCCCGACGGATTTATATCTCTCAACTAACCACCACAAGTGACTAAAAGGATTGATAGAATTCCGAGATCAGTGATCATCAGCAGCGGCAATCTTTGTGCTGGCCGCATTCATGTCCTATATTTTCTCGAAACCTCTAAAACTTGCGGACATCCAAGAAATTCAAGCACTCACGGGAATTTCAATTGCATATTCAACTGCACGGAACTTTAAAACAAATAGTTTTGAATCACATATGTACACTGCATGTTTAATATCTACAAAGGTTTCATTCACGATGTCCCACGCAATTCAATCGAAAATTACTTCATTTCCCATCAGTTCTTTTTTTTTGCGTCGGCACGTAGGAGGGGTCTAACGAATGTTTTCAAAACATGAATTGAAATTACACATGATTGAGCTTCAAGACAATTATTTTTCAAAAATATTCTTCGGGACAAGAAAAAAATTAAGCTCTGTTCGACATATTTTTTGCTTCTTTTTTTCAAAAGGCATCCTGGCACCTTTCAACTCTTCACTAAGAAAATAGCGCCATCTAACAGATTATTAGGTGTAGCCCACGTTCTCCTTCAGAATTCTTGAAATCCAGGTTGTGGCATTAATTCCAAGGTTCGCCTCCATATGCAAGTCTTCAAAGGTAATTGAACCATTTTAATTAACAGCATGTGCCAAATTTTCAACCCAAATTGAGGCTGTGAGTGAAAATGGGGGAAATCAATTATCACTTATTGGTGGCAACACCTGGAATCCATGCCATATGTAAATTTCAAGAATTCCCTCAGGGAGAACTGGGCAACAGCAAAAAATCTGCAAGATGGGCACCTCATCTTTTGAGCATAGAACAAAAGAAAGCTGCCACGATGACACTTCTGCAAAAATTTACGGGAAAAATTATAGTAGATTAAAAAATTAATCTAAAAAACCACGTTTTCAAAAAGCAAAAAATAACCTTAAACGTGGTGCGCATCTATTTCATTTGTATTTCACTTCTTCTCAACAATCTCCATGCGCACCACGTTTAAGGTTATTTTTTGCTTTTTGAAAATGTGGTTTTTTAGATTAATTTTTTAATCTACTATAATT